ATGCTACTACGTAATAATATCATTTTTATTGTATTTTAAAATGGAAATTTATAATTGTATCTTCTTAAATATACTAGAATTAGTTGTTAATTGTGTGTGTGAATAAATTTTTCTTGTTAACTGTACTCGTAGAATATCTTATTGATCAAATATGTCTTTTTATTAATTATTGGAGCATTTCGTTTCATGCATAATATATTATTTTTCCGTGTTGTTCATCGAAATGTAAACAAGGATAAATGGTCGATAATTTGAGTGCATCATGCACTTATAATCTATGAGGTACTTACAAAGTAATATAGGCAACACAGAGGAATTCAAATTAATGTTATTGCTGTAACTTTCAAATTTCTATACATTTTTCTCAAAATTATATTGATATGGCGGTATTACGTCCTACAGACGCCACGATTTTTTTTTCTCATCGCCGCGACTATGGTTGGCGTCTACGAGACCCGAGCGGGGCCTTCTGATAACGGACTGATAAAATTGAAAAAGGACCGGACAGGCGCCGCAAAAACTCGTAAACGTCAATCAACTTAGAAAGAATAGTAACCTTAATGTAGGCTCGAAAAGAGACAAGATTGCTAAGACATTATAAATGTACCGAAGTCACGCAATAGTAAAAATCTAGGCTTTATCATCCTGATTAACAATTTTATCTTTCTTAAAAAAAAAAACAGGCACCATATCGCACTTAAAAAGAAAAAAAAACATAAACGCATAGAATAACTTCTAACAAGAACGTTATCTGAAACCAGACTCGGAACTGACAATGATAGCATGGTAACCATCTGCTTATCACATTTTCCGCAAGAGTAACAGAATTCGTCATCTGTCGCGGAGCAATCTTGGCTTTTTAAAAAAGAAAAAAAACTATAAATCACTTTCTCTTTTTCTCAAAACTACTCTATGTACTTTAGATCAACTACGATAAAGCGTTATAAAAAATCGTAAATCTCGTGTGACATTTACAACTAACTTTAGCATCCTAGACAAGGCTCAACACCCTTTTTTCGGGGTATAAATAGAGGTCCCGCGGAAGCACAGAGTCAGTACCAAATTTTGAAGCACTCGGTCCACGTCAGTACAGAATTTTAAACCATTCGTCAGTTCCACGTCAGGTTTGCGTTTAGTTACTTATTGTCTCGCACAGTCCGAAAATCTCTTCGCTGACGACGGATCTCCTCGCCTAGAACCCGATATCTTGGGGATAGCTATTAAGTAAGTCATAATTATTTACAGTCCACCCCCGCGTTTCCCATGGAAAAACACAGGACGCTCTGCGCGGACGCCGGATCTCGTTGGGCTCGCACATAGACTCTCTACGCGATATCTTGGGGCAGCTAAATAGTAAGTTATAATTTTTTATAATTCACCCCGCGTTTCCCCGCATGGAAAGGCTCAATTATTGAGCATTAATATACATACGCGTATTCCAATTTTAATTCGTCGGTTCATATTGCGAACCTGCAAGAAACGCGGACGACTCCCCTATCGAAGGAGTAGGCGGAACCGCTCCCCAGGGCCACCCACAATCACGCCGGCACAATCAACTGTCGAACAATCGACAGAAATCTCGTACTCACCAACGGAACCGTTGGACCTCACCTCTTCTCCCGTAATAGACCTCGATATCCAAGAAATTGGATATGGTTATTCCCCTCCTCCTCTCGAGGAACGATTCCCTCCTCCTCCTCCTCCCGAACAACGATTCCCTCTTCCTCCCCCTCTCGAGAAATGATTTCCTCCCCCTCCTCCTCTCGAACAACGATTCCCTCCTCTTCCTCCTCTCGAGGAACGCTTCCCCCCCTCTCTCCTTTACGAACAACGATTCCCACTCCCTCTTTCAGATCAACTCCCGCCCCTCCCATTTCGGCTAAGTTCAGAGCTGATCAACAGGGATCGGATGTTTCAGTTCTACCCGCCCCCCTCTCACGAAAGGGACAGACTAGTAACAGTGTATATCCCCGGAAATCCCGCACCTTACACCATATTGTTTAAACACCTCACTCCGATGTGCTTCTGTAATATGCTCCTCGCCTCCCGTATCCTCTAACCCTTGCACACACACACACACACACACACACACACACACACACACACACACATACGCATTCACAATGTATATAAAAC